AGGTTGCCTTGAGCAGCACCATCGAGTGGTCAGTCTTCACACAAGCCTTGTTCACTCGGGCAGATCATTCACTGCACCTTACAGTTTGCGTAGTTTTTTGTAGTTGTTTTACATTTCACAGCAAACAACAATTTTACAGGTGATGCCTGCCTCGGTTTGAGCCAAGAGGGGCATCTGTATTTCTTCAAGGTTCCTGGGGCAGAGGCTCAGCCAGCACTTGCTCTGCTTGTCCCTCACCCGCCTTTAAAATAATATCTTTTAGCCCTGGCCAGGTAGCTCAGTTGGTTAGAGTGCAGTCCCGGTATACCACGGTTGCAAGTTTGATCTCTGGTCAGGGCACATACAAGAATCAACCAATGAATGCATAAATAAGTGAAACAACCAACCAATCAATCTCTCTTTCTCTGTCTCTTCCTCCCTCTCAATTTTTTTAAAAAATCTAAAAATAACAGCTTTTAAATTAACTGTGAGTGTAAAAAAATTGTTTTTAATTACAGCTTTATTAGCTGTTATTCACATACCACCCACTCCACCCATTTAAAGTGCACATGCGCCCTGGCTGATTTGGCTCAGTGGTTAGAGCGTCCGCCCGCAGACTGAAGGGTCCCTGGTTTAATTCCAGCCAAGGGCGCATACCTTGGTTGCAGGCTTAATCCCTGGCCCTGGTCGGGGTGCATGCGGGAGGCAACCAACCCATGTGTCTCTCTCACATCGATGTTTCTATCTCTCTGTTCTCGTTCCCTTCTACTCTCTCTGGAAAAGCAATGGAAAAAATATCTCAGGTGAGGGTAAATAAATAAATAAAAATAAATAAATAAAATAAAGTGCACATGCACTGGCATCTGATGTATTCAGAGTCATGCAACCATCACCTCTGTCTAGTTCCAAAACATTCTCACCTCCTCAAATAGAAGTCCTGTCCCTGTCAGCAATTACCCCCATCTCCCTCCCAGCCACTGACAACCAGGAGCCCACTTCCTGTCTCTGTGGATTTGCTTGTTCTGGATGTTTCACTTAAATGGAATCACATGCTTGCCTTTTGTATCTGACTTCTCCCGCTGAGCATCATGTGTTCAAGGTCCATCCACGTTGTAGCAAGTGTCAGTGCTTCACTCCTTTCCATGGCTGAGTAACATTCATTCCAGTGTATGGATAGACTGTTGTGTTTGTCCACATTCGTGGGTGGACTCTTGGGTTGTTCCCACCTTTCAGTGATTATTATAAATCATGCTGCTGTGGGCATTTGTGTATAGGTTTTATGTGGATCTGTGTTGTCGCTTCTCTTGGATTGATACCTAGGAGTTAGTTGCTGGATTAAATGGTATCTCTGCTTGCTTAATTGCCAGACCGTTTTCCACAGTGCTGCCCCCTTTCATCTTTTCACCAGCTGGGCACAAGCATTTGATTTCTCCTGGTCCTTTTTTTTTTTTTTTAATCCTCACCTGAGGATATGTTCATTGACTTGAGAGAGGAAGGAAAGGGGAGAGAGAGAGAAATAACAATGTGAGAGAGAGAGAAACATCCATCGGTTACCTCCCTTATGCGCCCCTACCAGGGATCGAACCCACAATTTATGTGCTCTGACTGGGAATGGAACCCACAACCTTTTCAGTGTACAGGATGACGCTCCAACCAACTGAGCCGCCCAGTCAGAGCTGGTTGTCCTTTCTGATCACAGCCATCCTCGTTTGGGGGTGTAGTTTGCTTCCCTTTGCACTGGGGTTTCTCCCGTCCTCTGGCCCTGTTGTCTTCGGTTGGCTCCTCCATCCCTATGATCAGCTTCTGTGTTTTACATGGTTCAGACCAAATGGTAGAGCAGCTCTGCCAGATTTCACCAATCGTGTGAAATGACCTAAACCAGGGTCTCTTCCCCACTACTGTTCCCTGCCCCCACCCCAGCACTGCTGACACTGGGGCCAGGTCACTCCCTGGGGGGACTACCTGGTCACTATGGGGTGTTGAGCAGCATCCCTGGCCCCCACCCACTCAATGCCAGGAGCACCCCCAGTGTGACAACTACAGATGTCCCCAGACGTTTCCCAGCGTCCCCTGGGGCCAGGATCACCCAGGTAAGGACACTGGTTTAGGCATTTTTTATTATATATATTGTACCTGGAATTAAACCAAAGGCTTTTGGAAGACAGAGCCTGCCTTCCACCATGAAGTCTGTGTTGAGTACATAGAATATATAAAGGATGATGCCGCCCGGCCGGGCATGGCTCAGCGGTTGAGCGTCAACCTAGGATCCAGGCAATCGGGATTCAATTACCCGTCAGGGCACATGCCCAGGTTGCAGGGGCATGCAGGAGGCAGCTGATCAATGACTCTCTCTCATCATTGATGTTTCTATCTCTCTCCCTCTCCTTTTCTCTCTCTGAAATCAATAAAGATATATTTTAAAAATAAAAATAAATAAATAAAGGGTGATGCTGGCAGACTCTGCCGTGTTCCCTCTGACCCCTGCAATTTGAGAGACTGGAATTGGTGGTAGTTCTGGAGGAATCTCTAGAAGGCCAGGGCCCATCAGCCCTTTGCCCTTGGAGACTATTCCTGTGCTGAGATGGATAGGACCAAGCCTGAAGGAGGCTCTGGGCTCCAGGATGTGGCCCGAGTCATGACTCAGCTCTCTGTAAATTTGCTGAAATCCCCAGCACCCTTGGGCCATCTTGTCATCCGAGTCACTTCACCTTAGCCCCAAGGACACACTGTGTTTGTGCCAGCTCACTCTCTGGGCCCAGGAAGGACTGACTTGACCCTGGCCTACACCCTGTTGCACTGAGCTGGGTGCTGTGTTCAGAGTAGACGTGTGCTTTTCTTTAGCTGAACCTGGCCTTGGCCATGCCAACTTTGGTGGATCATACTCCATTGGGGCTGCCCTGGGCCCTTGGGGTTGAGGGGCATCCCTGTAAATGTGAGGTCCAATCCCATTGTTCTGTGGTCATTTGCTACATGGTATGCTGAGTCTTGAGGGTGGGCCACCAGACAAGTCCAGCTGGCCGTACGTCACAGAAATGAACTCCCACTGTCAACAAAAGAACGCTCAGACCTATAGAAGGATCTTATAAGAATTTTTTAGAGGTTTCTTGAGCAAAACTGAGGACATGCCTGGAAGCTAGTTTTCTCAAGGGATTGAAAAAATGCCCTGGAGAATGGAAGTTTGCAGTTCTTTTTATGCATTTGGAATTAAAGGGGGGACAATAAGGAAGATTACATGAAACATTGTTGGGAGATTAAGGAGAAAGCAAAGTGCGAAATCCTAGGATTGGGTAAAAAGTAAAAGAGATCCCGAGCCAGTTTTGCTCAGTGGTTAGACTGTGGACTGAAGGGTCCTGGGGGCACATACCTCGGTTGCAGGCTTGATCCCTGGCCCCAGTCAGGGCGCGTGCAGGAGGCAACAATCAATGTATCTCTCTCACATCAAGGTTTCTTTTTTTAATAAGTCTTTAGTGATTTCAGAGAGAGGAAGGGAGGGGGAAAAGGAAAGAGAGATAGAAACAGCAATGATGAGAGAGTCATTGATTGGCTGCCTCCTCGATCGAGCCCACAACCTGGACATGTGCCCTGACCAGGAGTCAAACTGAGATCTCCTGGATCATAGGTCGATGCTCAACCGCTGAGCTACACTGGCCAGGTTCACATTGATGTTCTATCTCTCTCTCCCTTCTACTCTCTCTGAAAAAGCAATGGAAAAAATATCCTCAGGTGAGGATTTTAAAAAAAAAAGTAAAATGGAGAAACATGTGCTTCTTTTACATTGGAGGGTGCAGGATAGTTAACATTTAGCATTTACAGTGACTGGGAACGGTATGTGGGCAACAAGATAACACTGAGGAGTGCACTAGCTGATGAGGGTAGTTACCCTCCTAGGGGTCTGGAAAAAAAGATCTGACATTTAAAAGGTGTTAACCTAAATGCACAAGAACAGTGGTCAGGGCTGGCTTAAGGTAAAGACTGACCTTCGCCAAGGAAGCCTTGGGCCTGAGATGGAACTTGTTACTCTCCCCATCTAACAGAGGAGGAGACTGAGCACAGACAGGAGAGGGTGGATCAGGTGGGAGGTTGAAGCCTTTCTGGCAGGGAATTTCAGCTGCAGCCCTCATATCAGGGCCCTCATATCTGGGGGAATGGGTGGGCATCTGGCATGTTCCCATGAAGGCGCAGACAAGACCCAGACAAGCTGGTCCAGATGGTGTTGTGGAATGAATAGTGTCCCCCCAAATTCATGTTCACCATTGGAAATGGGGTCTTTGCTTATGTCATAAAGATGATAAAATGAATTCCCACTGGATTAAAGGGGGCCCTAATATAATGATGAGATTTATATACATAGAGAAGCAACAGGAATTTATTCCCTCCCAGCCTTGGAGGATGCCAGCCCTCAGAAGGCTGGTCCCCTCTGAGCTCAGAGGGAGTGATTGTTCCAGGCCTTTCTCCTGCCTCTGGCAGTGTCGGTGATCCCTACCATCTCTTGGCCTGTAGACATGTCACCCCATCTCTGCCTCCATCGTTGTGTGGACTTCTCCCTGTGTGTCTGTGTGTTTCTTCTTATAAGGGCACTCGTCATCTAGGGCCCACCCAGAAAATCCAGGACAAGCACATCCCAAGATCCTTAACTTAATCACATCTGCAAAAACCTTTTTTCCAAATAAGGTCCCATTCACAGGTCCTGGAGATGTGGACATTTCTGTACAGAGGCTACCTCTTAGCCCACTACAGTGACCCTAAGCCACCATGCATGTTTTAGCACACCCTCTCCCACTTTATAGAAAGCTCCTGGGTGCTGGGGCAGAAGTAGGATGCTGGCTGGCCTGGGTTCTTAGAGATCATGACTTGGCATATCCTGCTGTGAGGCAGTCAGGACACACCTCACGGCAGTTCTCTTTACTGAGGAGCTGGCACCCTTTTGGTAAAACTCAAAAACCACAAGTGTAGCCCACTCTTGCTTCCCGAACAGGGTTTACAGGAACAAGGTGACAATTCTTTTTCTTTCTGTATTTCAGACCTCAGGGAAGACCCAGGGGCCAGTGAATTTCCGGTCACCTGTGGGTTGGTGGTCGACACCAGCATCCTTCCCAGCCCCCTCCACGAAGGACTCATCCAGGAGTTTGCAGTGAGCACCACAATGTCCAACCCCTTCCTGAAGCAGGTCTTCAACAAGGACAAGACCTTCCGCCCCAAGCGCAAGTTTGAGCCGGGCACCCAGCGGTTCGAGCTACACAAGAAGGCACAGGCATCATTGAATGCGGGGCTGGACCTGAAGGTGGCTGTGCAGCTGCCGGCTGGTGAGGAGCTCAATGACTGGGTGGCCGTGCATGTGGTAGACTTCTTCAATCGTGTCAACCTCATCTATGGCACCATCAGTGATGGCTGCACCGAGCAGTCCTGCCCCATCATGTCGGGAGGCCCCAAGTATGAGTACCGCTGGCAGGACGAGCACAAGTTCCGCAAGCCCACAGCACTGTCGGCCCCACAATACATGGACCTGCTCATGGACTGGATTGAGGTGCAGATCAACAACGAGGACATCTTCCCCACCAACGTTGGTGAGTCAGGTGGCCTGAAGCAGGGGGGCATGTTTTAATAACAGCTTTACTGAGATAGAATTCACAAACCATGAAATCCACCCATTTAAAGCGTAAGTTCAGTGGCATTTACTACATTGATAGGGTTATGCAACAACCATCCCTTCTAATTTCAGAACATTCAGTACCTGCAAAACATTCCTTATCCCCATTAGCAGTCACCCATTCCCCTCTCCCAGCCCGATAACCACCAGTCCACTTCCTGTCCCCTGTGGATTTGCTTGTTCTGGACATTTCACATAAATGGACTCTCACACTGTGTGGCCTTTTGTGTCTGACTTCTCTTACTGAGCATCATATGTTCAAGGTCATCCATGTTGTAGTGAATATCCAAGCTTTATTCCTTTTCACAGCTGAGTACTATTCCTGTGTGTGGATGTGCCATGTTTTGCTTCATGTTAAGGCTCTTGAGATGGAGAGATTATTCTGCATTATTCAGATGGGCCCTAAATTTCATCAGAAGGGTCCCTGTAAAAGGGAGGCAGAGGGATATTCAACACATAAGAGGTGATGTGACAACAGGAGAAGGAAAAAGGGATCATAAGCCCAGGAATGCCAGCAGCTTCCAAAAAAGACAGGAAATGGGCCTCTCTGGAGCCTCCAGAAGGAAGCAACCCTGCCCACTCCTTGACATCAGCCCCATGAAACTGACATGAGACTTCTGGTCTCCAGGACTGTGAGGAAGCACATGTGAGTTGTTTTAAGCACTAAGTTGGTGATAATTTGTTTTAGCAGCCCTAGGAGACCCACACAGTTGCCCTTCTCACTCTCACCATTGGCATTAGCACAGCATCACGGAAAACAGGGTGAACAGGTCTCGGGGCCCAGCTCTTGGTTGATGATAGGCTCTGTGCCTGGTCAAGTTTCTCACCCCTCTGGACCTTGCTCATACCTCTGTACAGGGAACGGGCCTGCCACTGACAGAGGGGTTTCAGAGGCCTGTCTGAGAAAAGACCAGCTCAGAATAGATGCTTTCCCAAAATAGGGATTCACAGGTGCCCCCACCCACTCCCTGTTCTGACTCAGAGCCTACTGGGTCCCCCTAAATTCCTGACAGCTCCTGAAGGGGGTCCTCATCCTAGAACTTAGACCCTGAGTTCCCCTAGGCAGCTCCTCGCCTGTGGAATAATATTTCTAGCAGTTTTACCAAAGAGAAAACTAATGAGCAATTGAGAGAAAATGAACTTTGCAGACGCCATATGACTGCCCAGACAAGGGTCTGAGGCCACATCACCAAACTGCCGGCTCTCTCTGGGCCCCAGCCTCTGTCACATGGCCATATCATGGGGTCTAGAGTCACTGTTGCTTTCCTTGGGTGCTTGTCTGTCCCAGGCCACATCTTCCTGCCCTATTTCCGAATCCCAGGGCCCCTCAGCCTGTTTTGACCCCCAGCCAGGCAAGTAGAATGAAATGCTTTGCACAGACAGTGGGTGTCTCTGCTTCTTGTCTGTGGTGCTTCCAAGAACCAGAGCCTGCAGGGCGCTCCTTAGGTTAGATTTATGGCTTAGCAGAGAAAGAATGGGGCCCAAATTTTATCCCAGTCTCCCATGCCTGTGCTGTTGACACCTGTATACCCACTTAAGCCCCAAGCCACCAGCTCATGCTCTTTAATGTTAGCTTGGGGTGGCAAATTTTTCCTGTAAAGGGAAAAGTAGCTCTTCCTTGGCACTGCCTACTCCTTGGCCGCCATCTCCTATTCGGCATCATAGCTGCCCTCAGACCCCTAATAAAACTCAAGATTGTCAAAAAGAGGACCAAGAAGTCATCCGGCACCAGTCAGGCCAATATGTCAAAATTAAGTGTAACTGTGGACTCCCAGAGGCATTGACAGTAGAGTGCACAGAAGATGCAAGGGCCAGATCTTGATGCCCAGCACTAGTTATGGGAGCAACAAAAAAACAAAGCACATGCTACCCATAGCTTTTGGAAGTTCCTGGTCCACAGTGTCAAGGAGTTTGAAGTGCTGCTGACATGCAGCAATCTTACTGTGCTGAGATTGCTCACAACTGCTCCTCAAAGAACCACAAAGCCATTGTGGAAAGAGCAGCCCAGCTGGCCATCAGAGTCACCAATCCCAATGGCAGGGTGCACAGTGAAGAAAATGCATAGACAGATTGTGTACACATTATCTTTGTATTAATAAAACTATGAAATTCTATGGAACAACAACAAAAAAGACCACACAGTATATCTTTCCAGCTTTATGAACCCAGAAGGTCTGTGTCTCAACTACTCAGACCTGCCATGTAGCCCAAAAGCTGCCATAGACCCCATGTAAACAAATAGGGACCTGTGTTCTAATAAAACTTTATTTACAAAAGCAGGCAGTAGGCCATATTTCATCCCCTGCATGAGAATACCATTGCATGTGTGGGCCATGCAATCCTGGAGGTTACATTTCTTTTTTTCTTTTTTTTTAATATATCTTTATTGATTTTCAGTGCGAGGAAAGGAAAGGGAGAGAGAGAGCTAGAAACATCAATGATGAGAGAGTCATTGATCAGCTGCAGCCCACAACCTGGGCATGTGCCCTGACCGGGAATCGAACCCTGATCGCCTGGATCCTAGGTCGATGCTTAACCACTGAGCCACGCCCGGCTGGGCTACATTTCTATTTTTCTTTCTTTTTTTTTTCCCTTTTCAGTCTTCACCGAAGACATCCTTGAGGGGTGGGCAGGGGGACATTGATTGGTTGCCTTTCATAAATGCCCCAACTGGGGATTGAAAACCCACAAGAGGTATGTGTCCTAACAGGGAATCGAAGTGGCAACCTTTTGGTGCACAGGACGATGCTCAACCAACTGAGCCACTCCAGCTGGGCCTGGAGATTACATTTGTAAGCCCTTCTCCTAGGATGGGCTGCTCTAAATCACTCCCCTTCCCCAGCATCACCCTTGCTGACTCCTGTTACCACTTCTCCCAGGGAATACAGCTGAGGGAATACAAGAGCCATCAGTTCTCAGGTCAGGGAGGTCATCTGGCCCCAGATATAGAGGAGGGAGCAGAGCCAGGCTGGACTTGTCATGTACAGAGAGCCTATTCTTTCCCAATTGCCTTTTAACTGGATACATCTCCAGTGTTCCCCGGCGGTGAGCAGCTATATCGGTTCTCGATGTCAGTCAGGGCTGCGGATTCCAGTTTTGCTGCGGACACTGCATCTTGAGCCCTCCTGCACATGGATGTCCGCACTCATCTGCACCTCTTTGGGCCATTACTCAGGCATCTGCAGGCCCAATAAGCACAGTGCTATCCTACTGATAACTGCCCGGAGAGGTCCCATCTCCTGAAAGCATGTATCTGGTGCACTGCAGCTTTCCCATGGTTAGCCACATCTCTGTGTCCTCGCCTGGTCCATCAGCCTCTGAGCCCCTCTCTTCAAGGATGGGCCAGTTTGGCGCTGGCCGGATAGCTCAGTTGGTTAGAGCATCATCCCAAAACACCAAGGTTGCAGGTTTGATTTCCAATCAGAGCATATACAAGAAGCAACCAATGAATGCACAGATAAATAGAACAACAAATCATTGTGTTTCTCTTCCCTCCCCCCCCCCAAATCAATTTTTTTTAAAAGGAATGGGCCGGTCTGTCAGTCCTACTCCCAGGCACCTACTTGGTAGTGCTGGTTGGATCTCATGAACATGTGACTTTGTCTTGCCTGTGGGATGAAGGGGACCTTAAGTCTTGGTGAGGAAAGAGACAGGAGTGGGAAGGGCCCATGGTGGCACACAGCAATGTGAATGTGCCTAATGCCACAAAACTGTTGCCTAGAATGGCTCAGATAGAGAATCTCAAGGTTGGGTGTATTTTACCACAATTTTTAAAACTAAAGAAATTAAATACAATAGCAGGAGAAGAAATTCCAACATAGTGTATGGATTCAATTAAGCTCTGACAAGTACATCAAATTATATTATAAAAACATACTTAGCCCGGCCTGGCGTGGCTTAGCTGTTGAGCGTCGACCTAGGATCCAGGCGATCGGGGTTCGATTCCCGGTCAGGGCACATGCCCGGGGTTGCGGGCTCGATCAATGGCTCTCTCATCATTGATGTTTCTATCTCTCTCTCTCCCTCTCCTTTCCTCTCTCTGAAATCAATAAAGATATATTTTTTTAAAAAACAAAACAAAAAAACATTAAAAAAAAAAAACACAAAAAACATACTTAATCCAGGCCAGTGTGGCTCAGTGGATTGAGCATTGTCCCATGCACCAAGAGGTCACCAGTTCGATTCTGGATCAGGGCACATGCCCACGTTGCGAGCTCAATCCCCAATGGGGGCCGTGCAGGAAGCAGCCAATTAATGTTTCTCTCATCAGTGCTACTATCTCTCTCTCTCCCTCTCCCTTCCTCTCTATCTAAAAATCAATAAAAAACATACTTTAAATAAAAGACATACTTAAGCCCTGGCCATGTGGCTTGGGTGTTTGGAGCATTGTCCCCTGCACCAAGAAGGTTGTGGGTTTGATCCCCTGTCAGGGCATGTGCAGAGGCAACCAATCAATGTTTCTCTCTCACATTGATGTTTTTCTCTCTCCATTCCTCTCTCTCTAAAAATCAGTACAAACATATCCTCAGGTGAGGATTTAAAAAAATACTTAAGATGGAGAGAAAGATATCGAGTGGAAAAAAGGTCAAAAAATTTGTTTTTAGGGTTTGTCCTATTAAGAAAAATAAATGTTGCTAGAAATACATACATGGCCGGATTCCAAAGTGGACATAGCAGATCCACAGCTGGCAGCCTCAAATGGGGAATGTTCTGGGCTCTGGGGAAGGAAGTAGGCAAAGGCAGAAGGAATGTGTGGCTCCCAGCACATTCCCAGTGAGGACTGAACCAGTGGGGCCAGAGCGGCTGATGTCAATTATCCTGAGGATGGGCTTTACCTCTCGGCCTGTCTCATCCCTTCTCCGGACGTAGTTAAGCAGCAGAACAGTGGCTTTCTCATGGTGTTTCAGTGGACTCCCTGGAGCTGGAAGTGAGCAGACCAGGGTGGGGGTTAGGAGGCCACAGATCCTGGAAAAGGGGCTCCTTCCCAGGGACAGACACCTCCCACCCAGTCAACACTTGGCTTCAGGAGGAAACCCGGACATGAGCTGTATGATGTATGAACTTGGGCAGGCATCTCAACTTCCCTGAGCCTCACTAGTTCACAAGCTAGATCGCGCCTGCGATCCAGGGCCCGTGTGGTTTCAGGGCCCCTGAGGCTGTTTCCTGAGCGCCCTGGCCCTCTCGCTATTCACAGGCACGCCGTTCCCCAAGAACTTCTTGCAGGTGGTGAAGAAGATACTGTCCCGGCTGTTCCGTGTGTTTGTGCACGTCTACATCCACCACTTTGACCGCATCGCACAGATGGGCTCTGAGGCGCACGTCAACACCTGCTACAAGCACTTCTACTACTTTGTCAAGGAGTTCGGCCTCATAGACACCAAGGAGCTGGAGCCGCTGGTAAGTGGGGCAGGTACCGAGGGGACCAGGGAGGGAGACACTGGGCACGCAAAGGCAGGGGCCAGTAAACTGGGTTTTGTGAATAGTTTTATTGGCACACTCAGCTGTTCACTGAATACTGCCACTGCTTTCAGCAACAGGGCAGAGGTGAGCAGACAGACAGGTGCCATGTGTCCTCTACAGCTCACAGAGTGACCTCTCGGGCCCTCCACGGAGCTTGCCACCCCCAACCCAAGGGGTGCTGCTGTTTGTTCCTTTTTCTGTAAGATTTGGCCTTTGATGAGGCCCAAAAGGCCCTTGAGACTGCATCCCCTGCTTTTCTGTATTGTGTATGTGATTTCTGTTGCATCTTGTGTTAATACCTGATGTCCTGCTTGTTCTTAATAGAAAGAAATGACTGCACGGATGTGCCACTGAGAACCCCTCTGCTTTGCTGCCACCGAAGCAGTGCCAGGGGACACTCCAACTTGAGGGCCACCTTCCCCGAACACGGACTGTGTTTTCTGCCCTGGCAGCTCGGTGACCTCCACAGTTGTCAGATGGTGACCTCTGTGCCCCCAATGCCGCACTGGACACTGGGGTTGAGTCCTCTTTCTGATTCTGAGGTGGCAGCAGCTGTGGGTCCGTGCACAGCAGGGCCCAGCTTCCCAGAGCCCCATAGGGGAAGATTGAACTTGAACTCTGTGATTCTGTGTGCTGTGAGCAACTGAGAAAATCCACTTTATCTATAAAGCACTTGGATCTGCCTGGAGGCTGAAGCCCTGCCTGTCTTTCACAGGCCTGTCCCCTAATGCCCCAGAGCGCTCAGCCTGGGAGAGGACAGACTGCGCAGGCTCTGGGTCAGCAAGACAGGAACCCACCTCTGCTGGGCCTTTAAGCCTCAGCTCCCTCACAGCATACCTCCTGCAGCCCCATGTCTGTGTCATGAGAGGTACGACGTGGCCCTGGCTCCCTACCCTTCCCTCCTACATTCCTCAGTCCCCTTCTGTTCCTTCAGTTCCTCCAAAACATTTGGTTCATTTCTCAGGGTTTCTTGGACCCCACATCTGTACCCCCGGTTTCCTGGGGCCTTTTCACATATCATAAAAGATTGTGTTTTTATATAGACTCGCTGACAACCACCTTGAGATGTTAAGGGATAACAGCTTTTTATCTATAAATAGTGAATACCCTTGCCCTCTAGAAAAATATCCCTCCATTATGAATAACCCAGGATGACCCTTCCACAGAACTTCTCCCAGGTTTGGGGTCTTTGAACTTGGCTTTTCTTCAGGTGCCTGCCCACTTTATATGAAACACTTGGTGTGGCCTTTGGTGACTAGGGGACTAGAGTTCCAGCACTGTCTCCCCACAGAACACTGGGGCATATGGCCAGGCACCTGTGTGGGGCCGCCAAGAAATGACCTCAGGAAGCCACATGCTGCCCCCAGCTCCAGGCTCCCTGCCGCTCAGCCCTGCCTTCAGGGCACAACAGTGGCCTTTCCCGTGGCAGCCCTTCCCACCCAGCCACACCCACCTCTGAGGACCTCTCAGTATCTGGGATGCCCACAGAAGAGAGGGGCACCATCTCCCAACACCAAACAAGTGCAATTAATACAACCTCAGCCTGGTCCTCTGGGCACCACTGGGTCCAGCTCTTGGATCCCTGGGGACATGGGCCCCATAGGACTGCAGAAAACCATGCAGTCGAATGTAGCTCCTTTTAAATGCAAAACCACGACCAAACTCCAGAACCACTGTGTTCCCTCCCAGGTCACCACCAGCTCTTCCCTTCAGCCAGGCCAGGTTGGGGAAGGTGGCGGGGACTGTGGGGCAGGAAGGGTGCCCTCCCCACCCTCTTGTGCCTGTGGGTATTTCCACACAAACATCAGAATAAATTGTGCCATTTTCGTACCTGTTGCTACTGGCTGTCATTTCTGTTTTCCTGGCAGGAGGGCTTGGTGTCAGGACATATCACTGTCATTGTCACTGAGGTCCTCTGGTCCCTAAGTGGTGAGGAAATAGATGTCACAGCAGCTTGTGGTTCGCCAAAGTGCGATACCCAATAGATAAACAGATGCACAGAATGTGGGTGGGTTAGAATTTCATGGGGTGCAGGGTGGAGGCTATTAGGATAAAAGTGTCAAAAACAGGTTGAGAGCCCAGCCAGCATGGCTCAGTGGTTGAGCATCGACCCATGAACCAGGAGATCATGGTTCGATTCCCGGTCAGGGCACATGCCCAGGTTGCAGACTCAATCCCCAGTAGGGGGCGTGCAGGAGGCAGCCGATCAGTGACTCTCTCATCATTGATGTTTCTCTCTCTCTCTCCCTCTCCCCTCCTCTCTCTGAAATCAATAAAAACGTTTTTTTAAAAAATAGGTTGAGAAACACCATAGGGAAGGTGAGCTTTGTGCTCTCATTGTCTAAGTTCCTTCCCCTACCTACCCAATGTAATTCTAACTCTTTGCCTTTTTGCCATGTGAGAGAAGTTTCCAGAAAATGGACCAAGTGCAGAAATATTGATTGAGAAGGAACAGAGGGGTGTTCCCATTCCAGCCCTGCAACCTTGGGGCACAAGACAAAATGACACTCAAACTTTTCTCTCATGTGAAAAATGGGAGCAGACATCTTTCTCTCAGGGGCCCCTTTCAAATGTAAAATGTCACAGTTCCAGGACCAACAGGATTTGGTCTTTTGCAAGGGAGCTTGCAGGCCATGCTCCTGGCTGGGAGCAGATGGGGAAGAGGCACCTAGTGGACACCAAGGGCCACTCGGAGCCATAGGGTAGACTGGCAAGGAACCTGTGAGCCTAGTGTGCCTTCCGGCCCCCAGAGGGCGTGTGTGTGAAGGGAGATGTTTCTCTTCAAAGTGAATTCCATGTTATTTGGAAATACCTTCTAAAGAAGCCATTGTCTCCTTACCCTTTTATTTGCAAGTGTACCGCAACAATTTCCAGGACCAGTTTAAGAATTTGGGAGCTATAATTGTTATTTGGAATAATGGCCCACAAAGATTTCCCCATCCTAGTGCAGGGACCTGTGTACATGTCACCCCATGTGGTAAAGAGACTTTGCAGATAGGATTGAGCTAATGCCCCTGAGATGGGGATGACCCTGGATTCCCCAAGGGTGGAGTGGGGCAATGTCCTCACAGGGTCCTCTCCTCATAAGAGGAGGCAGGAGGGTGAGTGTCAGAGGTGGAAGAGGCTGCTGCCGGCTGTGAGGATGGAGCAGGGGCCATGAGCCAGCATGTGGCGCCTCCATAAGCTGGAGAAGGCCATTCTCCCTAGAGCCTCCAGTAGGACCAGCCCTGCGCACACCTGGGTTTAACCCCATGTGACCATGTCCGACTCCCAACCCCAGAACTTTAAGGGAATAAACATATTATTTAAGCCACTGAATTTGTGGTCATTGGTTACAGCAACCATAGGAAAGTCAACACCCTTTAGAAAGAAATGCTTTGCACACAGAATGCCCTGGGGCCCATTAACTTTGGCTCCAGGAACACAAGAACTAGAGGTGAGCTTCTGAAAGACTCCTCCCTTAGAGTCACTCATCCCAACAGGACAGTTCATCCCAAAACTTGTCTTACCAGGAGAGGTAATGGGGGGCAGGTACTAGTACCTTGGAATCTAGTCAGACTGGTAGTGGTAGAAGGAACCAGCAGTGTTCAGCTTGGACAAGACTAGCTGGCCATGTTCCCTCCTGGCCAGTGCCCAAGGAGCTGTCATTTAGGAGTGACTGTGGATTTGTATCATCCCAACAGATGGGACAAAGAATGGCAGAAGAAGGCAGAGGACAGCCTCTGATGTATCCAAGAGATGTTCTTCCAGAAACTCAAGAATTCAGTGGGACCATCCTAGACAATCAGGAGCCCCCTGTTACTGAAAGTTTCCCCACCAGGGCAGGCGTTGTCCTAGACCCATGCTGTCCAATAAGGCAGCCACTAGCTGCATGTGCCTGTTTAAATTCTAATTAAAGATTATTCCTCAGCTCTTCCCTTCCTAGTAGCCCCTGTCAGTAGGATCTTGATAGTTGCCCATTTCCACCATGGCAGGAGGCTTTTATCCCTCAGCAATGCTTCTAAAAGCAGTTCCTGAGTCAGAATGAAAGTCAAGATAGAGACTGTTTGGATCTTTGCCAGATCATAAAGACTGATGGTTAAGTCCCGAAATTTGATGACTGGTCCTCATCTTGACTTCCAAGAGGGAGCATGGTGTCATCGAAAGGGAGACAAGCGTGAGTGACATGGGGGAGTCAGCAATGTGGAAGGTTGGGCAATTTGGAGAAGCCCAGGTAGACATATGCATACTTGCCTCTCTGCTGAGAACCATGCATTTTATGGGTGCCCCATAGCTTAATGAATCCCCTCTGGTGTTGTTGTTTTTTGGTTATTCCTCACCTGAGGATATTTCTTTTCCATTGCTTTTTCGGAGAAAGAATGGAGGGGCGGGAAGAGGAGAGAGAGAGAGAGAGAGAGAGAGAGAAACATCGATGTGATGGTTGCCTCCCACACAGGCCCTGACCAGGGGCGGGGAGCGAACCTGAAACCCAGGTATGTGCCCTTGACCAGAAATTGAACCCGCAACCCTTCGGTGTGGGGGCCAATGCTCTAACCACTTAGCACACCAGCCAGGGCACAAATCCCCTCCATTATCTTATAGCTACAATACATATTCCTCTAGTCAAATCTTTATAAATATCCCTAATTATCGCCATAGGTGAACTGCCAATATAGGCATTGGCATCAGAGGGATTTACCTTGGAGGGTGTTCTTTTGTTGTTTGTTTCTTTGTTTTTATTCCTCACCTCCAGGGCATTTTCTCCATCATTTCCAAAGAGAATAGAAGTCAGGGAGGAGGGGGGAGAGAGAAACAACAATGTGAGAGAGATACTTCAATTTGTTGCCTCCCACACTTGCCTGGACTAGGGCAGGGAGCCTGCAACTGAGGTATGTGCCCTTGACCAGGAATCAAACCCACGACCCTTCGGTCCTCTGGCCGACACTCTAACCACTGAGCCAAACCAGCCAGGGCTGGAGGATGTTTTTGATGGGTCGTACAGGACCCTGCAGCTAGGAGGTACCAATTAACACCTCCATGGACATCTTTCAGGTTTCTATTTCCCTACCTCCTCCTCCCAACGCTGGGGATATTAGGCCTTGTGTCATTTATCAATTTTTGATAGGATAAATCCTCACTGTAGTAACGCATTGTTGACCATTTATATTGCCAATTCACATCCTTTGTATTTTCTCATTGGGGAGTGGTCTTTTATTGGTTTATCAAAATTCTTTACATATGGGCTTATAAATGTCTTTATATACTTGTTTATAAGAGCTTTTCTATATACTATATATAATTTATTATATATGTTACACATATCTCTCATGGCTTTTGGTTTGTCTTCAACATTGTTTACGATCACTTTGACATACTTTCTTTTTTCTTCCAACTTTCACATTTTTAGTCAATCTTTTCCTTGATAGTATCCACCCGTCATGATAAACTTATAACTTGGACTGCGGAAGGTTTTTATGTAAATTCTCTCCTCTGTGTTCTTGTTCTCCATGGCTTGCTTTCTCTTTCTATTAAACACTAGGTAAATTACTAGAGAGTTTAATTTTCATGACTAGTGTGAGGTAAGACTCTACGGAAATCTTTATTTGTTCAATAACAAGTAAACCCCCATTCCAGCATCATACGATGCTTCTGCACAGATCAGAAGGCTACTTATTTACACAGGGTTCTGTTTCTGGGTTTTGTAGGCATTTGCCTATCCCCCTGGCAGTTTTGGATTAAAAAAAAAAAAAATGTTTTCATTCATTTTTAGAGAGAAAGAGGAAGGCGGAGGAAGAGAGAGAGAAAGATCAATGTAGAGAGAAATATCCATCAGTAGCCTCTTGTACGCACCGTGACTGGGGACAGAACCCACAACCTGGGCATATGCCCTGGCTGGGAATGGAACCTGTGAACTTTTGGTGCACCGATGACATTCAGCCAATTGAGCCACACCGGCCAGGGCCCACCTCCAGTTTTAATGCACCTTACAGAGTTAGAGTAATTTTAATATCTGTCAATATAAGTTTCTTACTATTGTTGTTTTTATATTTTCTCATCTATTCTGAATACTTAGCATAGTAATATTATGCATAGGCTAATAATAGTATTATTAGTCTTAGAATAGCATTTCGTTCATAGTTCAGGTGAACTTCAGAATTACTTTAAGTTTTTAAAAAATTACCTCTGGGATTTTGGCGAAAATAGTAAATTTAGAAAATAATGTGGGCCCAGGTTGTCATTCTGGGACATAGATTGATCCCCAGGAGCCTCATGTGCCTCTGCGTTGTTCCAGCCATGCATGTCCCTTTGTAATCTCCATCCCGCAGGGTTCTGCACATTTTGTTTAGCTTTCTTTTCCTTGCTCATATACTTTTTTTACATTGAGCTGTAAGTCACATACCATAAAACTCACCATTTTAAAGTGAACAATTGCCATACTATAAAAATCAAATTCTTAAGTGTGTCTGTGCAGTTCAAAAATGAAGATATATCAAGGGGAAAAAACAAACAAACAAAAAACTGGTCTAGATGCTAGGCACACTTAAAGTGAGTTTTACTTTTGGTTGTATTTTCTTTGTATATTATAAACATTTATTTAACTTGTTGGAGTTTGAAGTACAAAATTTCCAAAATGTATGGTCAATAATAATCATTAAAATGTTTGCAGAGTAAAATAAATAAATAAATAAATAAATAAATAAATAAAGTGAACAATTGAGTACATTTTAGTACATTCCCAGAGTTGTGCAACCATCACCATCAAATTTTAGAGCATCTCACCCGGCCAGCGTGGCTCAGCGGCTGAGCATCAACCTATGACCCAGGAGGTCATGGTTCAATTCCCAGTCAGG